GGCGGGCGAATCGGCAGGATAGATATGGCTCTATAAAACACTGATTTCTCACCCGGAAGGTCAGATAGCCCGGCCTAATGTTCACTAGCCAATTAAAGCAGCCGATATCTAAATAAGTTCGATACTCCCTCGGGCTTTTCCTCATCAATCAAATACTCGCCATACCGGCTGGAGAACTGCTGAAAGCAAGTGGAAAATGCCCAACACTTGTAGACCTGTAGCTGATTTCTGATGTCAGGAAATCCTCGTCCTTCCCACTTGCCATTCTCAAGCAACTGTAGTAGGGGAACAGAGTGGTCTGTGGCGTTCGGTACCGAAAACATGTCAGAACGATGAAGGACGAACCAAGCCATCAAATAGGTGTACGGAAGCTCCACCTTAATAGTAGGAATCTGAGCCAACGATTCACTTTCTTTCTGTGTAAAAGCACTAGAAATCTGTCGAAGCCCTCGATGAATGTTAGCCACCATCACCGGAAGAAGCGAAAGTTCCTTTTTGTAGGCAAGTTGAACCGCTGGGTAGAGCACTTCCAATGGCAAAGCGTCACCGGACTGATACGGGACCACACATTTCTTTAACCAGATGGCAAGGTAACCAGCAAGAAGGGTCATCGGCCGAATCAGTGTTGTCGCATGCCATAAGAATGATTTAAACTTGGTCCCTGCAGGAAAACCACTCTCAGGACTCCTAATGGTATAGGAATGAGCGTCAATCTTCTTCAGTAGACTATTAACCCCTGAAGGAGTAAGTGGCGCCAGCTCACAAATAGCTTCGCCAGAATTGCTCTCTAGATTTCTGAACAGATAAGACGCGAACTGCTTCAGGCTCACATTTGATTTAGTCCTCTTCGCTAAAGGCTCAGACTGCGCCAAAGCAATATGATAGTGACATGTGAGATCCCATAAAGTCTCGTAGCGGTCGGGCATGCGGTCCTTCAGCTGACTCAATTCATGGTTGGAAGGAAAGTACTCCTGATATAACATCTGACCCATGGGCAAACCAGAAATCTTGTGCATCTCATGGAGAGCCAAGCCCAACTCTCCGTGCCTAGTCAGAAAAGTGTTCGAATCCGGGTTATAGAGCTCGCACAAAGCAAAGAAATGCTTAGCGCTGACGGGTAAGCCATACATGGTGGAACGAATAGCTGCATATAGACCACAAGCGTGCAACTCCTCGCTCCATCGGCTTAAGACGTATTTCGTCATGCGAGTCCACCAAAGCTTGTCTAGAGAATGGACCCAGCCATAAAATCGATGACGCGTCGCAAGCATCTCCCGTCCTAAGTCAGCGAGGTGATTCCTCAAAGTAGAGGCAGAGGCAAGAAACTCGTTACGTGGCGGTTCATCTAGTCCCAGTACTCCAGGACGCAATCCAATGATGTGATTCCTGCTCGAACCAGGAGCTGCCTGATGAATGATATAGCCACAGTGAACGCTCTCATACTCCTCCGTCAAGCGCCACGACATCTCCCGTTTAGCAGCCTGACGCCTAAGCTAAGTCAACGAGCGGTGTTGAGGAATCTTCGACAAATATATGAAACCACCGCTATTCTTATGGAGCCACTGTTCAGCGTCAATAAACACTACATCCGGATCTCTAACAGAGTCGCCAAATAAAAAGTCAGTCTTCCTGAGAGACTTAACAGAACTGGCGTCCTTCACGAAAGACGCATCCGTAATCAACTGCCGAAGAGCTCGATGTCCACCTTCCTTCACCACTTGGGCAACCTCTGTCGACGTGCCCGGAACAAACTGAAGAGTCAGTGGAATGGGTGAAAAATCATCGGACGTCGAATAATACTCGTCACGACGTCCATTCACCGCATGAGATTGAAAAATCATCGGACGTCGAATAATACTCGTCACGACGTCCATTCACCGCATGAGATGAAAATGCTCCAAAAGGATACTCCACTGAAAACAAGCAATTAAACGTTTGTTAATTCCAGTTATAAAAGGAAGTTGAACTCATCTTACAATTGAATAAGATAGAGTCACTGCCTTATAAAGGGTGAGACGATTTGGCCACATCATGCACTTATAAGGTAGGATATATCAAAAACATATCCCTACCTTATAAGGCACAATGCAGCGTCAAAACGCCCCCTTTATTTATTTTGAGATATGGTTTTGACCAAGCAAAACCCATCTTTAAAGCGTCGATCCTCACCAAGGAGAATCAAGGCTCTTCCCGATTGCCTCACCAAGGAGAACAACGTGGGGAAAAAGGACTATTTTGCAAATTTCAAAAAAAGGACTAATTTGTAAATTTTCAAATATGCCAAAAAAGAGCTCACCAGCATACGAGGGAAGCACGCCATCAGCCGACGCAGCAGGGGAGCGACCTCTCGGGACACGCGACATGATGATCTGCAAAATAAATCAGGGGGTCAGATCCAAAAAAAATTTCCCTTTTTTATTGCAATTCTACCCCCCTGAAAGACGAGCTCGAAGCGCCAAATCATAATCCTAACCTTCACATGCGATCCCACAAGTTCATAAATTGAATTAAGCATGAAATATGCTAAAATTATGGAGGATATACCTGAAAGAAAGCTCGAGGATCCGACAAAAATCAGATCTTAAAAGAGGCTCGAACCACGTGCTCGAGGGGCCTGAGAGAACTTTTTATATGGAGATTTTTGAGGGATTTTTCAATCTAAGATCCAAAGGAAGGCTAGATCTAAGACAAATATGAGGATTTGAGGGAGAAAGGATGCACGAGGGAAGAGAAATCAAGAAAATTGGACAAGGGGGGGGCGGCCCTAGGAGGAGGAAAAGAAAGAAAAAAGAACCCCTTTTATAATATGAACCAGCCCTGAACCAGACCGGACCAGGTTAAACCAGACCAGACCAGTCCAAATCGGTTCAAAAGGGGCTGAACCAGGCCAAACCAGGCTGAACCAGGCCAAACCAGACTGAACCAGACCAGACCAGAATGAACCAGTCTGAACCAGTTTTGAACCAGTCCTGAACCAGTCTTGAACCAGGTTGAACCAGTTTGAACCAGATTTGAACCAGATTCAAACTAGAATTCAAATTGAAGCTGAACCGAGCGTCGAAACAACTTCAAATCGACCGAGGGTTCAGTCCTTTGTTTATTCTTTCCTCTCCCGCACATTCAGAAGGGTCGGAAGATTTTTTGAGCCTAATTACTGCCTTTTTTGGGTCATTATCAGGCCGGTTCAGCTCATTATCAGACCGGTTCAGCTCATTCGGACATGAAAAATACTCCAATAAGGTATACGAGTATAAACTATTCTCTATTTTTGGTTGAGAAGTTTCTGGAGAATATTTTTCTAAAAAAAATATTCTTAAGGATAACTCAACAACACTACGCCGGACAACGCGTCAACGATCGATGATCAGTTCTATGTTGAACCAGCAAGCACGAGCTAAAGATCAGAAAATCAGGAATTAACTTCAAGTTCAGAATTCCGACAACGGTCAGACAATAAATGTAGCACCAGAACCCTTACAGACATTCGACGAAGCACCGAATAGCCTGAAGGATTGAAGGAATCAAGAATAGAAGCCATTCCAAGGTCCCGTTACACCGACTGAAGGTTGGGACAATCATATCCAAAGTATTCTAGACTCTTCTATAAAAGAACAAGGCTGAAATACTTTGGAGGGGGTATCTGTAGGCGTATAAAACTGCCTATAGGTCCTTTAGCACAGCTCATCACGGTGATTCGACAAATCAACGAACTATCGGGTAACGCATCTAAACACGATCGTTAGTCCACAACACTGAAACCAAATGATACGCGACGAAGCGGATTAACGAGGCTACGAGGCTAACGAACCGCACACAAACAACGGAATAAATCCACTCGCGTGTGAAATCAAGCTAACGGTTTGGTGAATCAACGAGTCATCCAAACAAGAGCGGACTCGAGCAAATCAAGATCGAATCAAGATCAGTTTCGGACTCGAACTCAAAAGTGGATTTACTGCCAAATCAGGATCCAGATTTACTACCAAATCAGGTCAACGAATCAAGTCTGGATAAATCAACCACAAAACCAGAAAAAACGGATGCAACGGTGAAAAAACCAACACCAAGAGAGACCCGGCCAAAATCGAGTCACCTAAGGGCTGCCCGGTGGCCGAGCCACCCTAAGGTGGCTCGGTGGCCGAGCCACCTTGAGGTGGCCGGCCCAGAGCCGAGCCACCTCAAGGTGGCCGGCTGCACTGTGCCCAAGGCACAGTGAGGGTAGCCTATAAATAGGCCCCCTTTTGTTCGGTGGCCGAGCCACACTCAGATCTGGGCCCAGATCTGGGCCCAGATCCGCTTTGAGTGACTATAAATAGAGAGGGTTGGATCATTTTTCAAAGGTTGGAACTTTTGGAGGCGAAGCTCTGCTAGATTCAAGGCCCAGAACTAAAAAAGATTGAAGCTTTGGGACTTTGAGGACTTACTCTTCCAGATCCGGTGCTCAGCGATCGTCAATGCCAAATAAGGCAGGAGTTCGAGAGGAACCGGATCTCAGATCTACGTAGTCATCCTCCGGATCAAAGCTTGGCCTTTGATCCCGAGAACTAAAGGCTACTATTTCATTGGCAAAATAGTACCCTCGACTATTATTTCCTTGGCGAAATAATATCCGTCATACTACGTAGATCCGATTGGATCTAGATCGTGCGGTGGTCCATGGATTAACCCCGGTGCAGGCGAAGAACCCACAAAAGCGAGTGACCGCAAAACAGGAGCTCGTGATTCGTTCGACAAACAAAGAAGATTGTAACTTTTTCTTTTTCTTTTGATCTCGTTGTAACCGGATCTTATAAAAAGACCGGATCTTTGTAATCGATAAACTATTACTAAAGAGTGTGCAATGACTTCAATGAAAGCTATGATTTTTCCCGCGAACACTCGCAGGACCGGTTCAATATCGTTGGATGTACCCTATTGAGAGGTATGGTGAAATGAATTATATTCACTTTATTTTATATTTATTCTAGATGTATAATTTATAATTTCTATGTAGGTATTTGCTTACACTAAAGAACTATGTACGAAATAGAAGCCGCCCAGAAGGTTCAATTGCTGAGGGGTACTTGATGGAGGAGGCCACAATATTTTGTGCACGTTACCTTGATGATGTGGAGTCAAAACTTAATCGACCAGTGCGACTTCAAGAAGGTCCCCTTGGTACAGGAAAGAGTAAAAAACTATCGGCGTCAGAATTGCACCAAGCATATCGCTTTATACTTGATAATATGGAATCAATACACCCATATCGAGAGTATGTTGTGTGGATCTATTTTATATTTTCATTAATATTTTTTTATTTTAGTACTATATTGGTAATCCAGGTTATATGATAAACTTGTAAAGCAAAGACATTCTCATTGGGACAACCGCCAAGTCCAAGTTGAAGGACATAAAAATTTCGTTGACTGGTTTAGATCTCATGTAAGCTTTCAAAACAACTTTACTTAAACTTTATAATTTTTCATAATATCAATTTCTAATGCATTTATTACTTTGTCATATATTAATACGTTAAAGAGGCAAAATGTTCATTTAGATGAGGAAGTGATCAATCTCGCTTTTGGTCCTTTGCCCGATGTTACATGTTATCCAGCATTTGGTGTCAATGGGTATAAATTCGAAACCAAAGCCGTCGAGGCTACAAGAACAACACAAAATAGTGGCGTTGTAACTGTGGGTGATGAGAGTAAATTATTTTATGGGATAATCGATGAAATATTAGTTATACAAGTACCAAAAATGAAATCTATTGTTTTATTTAAATGCACTTGGTATGACTATAGAGAAGGATTGGGATGGAAGAAAGATGAGTACAATCTTATATCCATTAATACATCTCGGAATAGCTACATAGATGAGCCATTCATCTATCCATCACAAGTAAGACAAGTGTATTACTCGAAGGATCCTAAAAATCCAAACTGGAGTGTTGTGTGTCATTGGAAGCCAAGAGATACTTATGAAGTTCCTGAAGAGGGGCAACATACAGAAGAGGAAATTGAAGATGAAGATATTAATTATGTTCAGAGCATCGATCCATGTATCCCTTCAGAAGGCATTACAATTGATGATGGTAATATTGAGTGGGTTAGAAAAGATATGGGAATTGGCACATTTGTAAGTCAGAAAGATCTCGAGGGGGCTAAAAGTTTTCTTGGGAAGAATAAAAAGAAATCTCAGGTATTTTAGATGATATTTTATTTTAATTGAAAATTTATTCATTATATTTATTCTTTGTGCTTATCTTTCATTTAATACTCCGTTCAATTTAATTCAATTGAATGCACATAAGGTACTTGATGGTTGATTTATATGGATATATTAGAAAAGGATAAGGGAATAGACAACTGGATGCAGATTATGATTTTGTTTTTAGTTTAGTTATCTACCCAGCTAGAATTTTATTTAATTAACTAAGCCTGCCATTATGCAATACTACCCAAGTACATTTCTGTATTTTTTATTATAGCAAAAGAAGAATTGATGGAGAAGAAGAGAATACAACATGCCGCCTAAATATTTATGAATATTAATGAAAGGAATTTTTTCAGATAATACAACATGCCGCCTAAACAGGCGATCATGATGATGAAGAAGAGAAGAAATATCATCGGGAAGAAGAAAAGAATATATGCTGAACCTAGCTCACAGAACTTTGAGGACACAAATAACACTAACCCACTAGATTGTCATCAGAAAACAATTGATGGAGGTATTTTTCTTATTTATTGAAAAGCTAAGAGTTTAGATATAGCCTATGATTTTTTTTAGTTTTAATGATTGTGCTGCATATTTTGGGAACACGCAGATTTTTCCAGCTTGGACCTATCATCTATGGCTAACCATACAAGTAGTAGAACTTCAGCGCATGTCTCAGGTGGTGATTTCTTTGTGCATGTCTCAGGTGGTAATTCATAACCTATCTATGAGTATGAACACTGTACTACTTCCAACTTTTAGAGCCTTTTTTTCATGAGCAAATAGTCAATATATAATTTTATTATCTCATTCTTTGTCTTTTAGCTTCCCAATCTATTCGTCCACAACGGACTGCGCCCTCGATATATCATCGTAATGTTGTTCCTCTGACTCCTATTATTGATGATGGCACACATATTTTTAATAATACAAGACCAGCCGTTGGTGGCCTTGATGGGGATACTCACTCTGTTGAGAACATAATCAATCTGGAGGTTCCTACAGGTAATTTTTTTTGGTTATCAATCAATTAACTTCTTTTGGTTTATTTGGTTTCTTGTCGTCTATTTAAGACTTCTAGACGTGCTGGAGTTCTCCCTAATACAAGTTACATACTCGTCAAAAAATGTGACCAGTATTCATTTAGGTCCCTTTTTTTCTTCAATCCTGTATATAGAGAATAGATGTACGGTTGCAAAAATCTTCTATTTGAAAACATTTTCATATACACACACGTACCCATTAGAGTACTTCTAGTGTCACTCAAAACAATCACCAACTTTAAGATGATATCTTCCTATGAGTTCTATATATTAAGAATCAAACACTAATCAATATTGCATGCTAGAGCTGCTACTACATGCCAAATTATAGTGCTCAAATTAGGTAAGATACATGATCCCAATTTTTTAAAGAAAATAAATAAACCAACTAATCAAAATGAAACACACACGTAAGAATTTTTGGACCAAGGCAACATCAATTTGATTTTTATTGATTGTACACATGCAGATTAGATATGAAACAAAGCCCACCACTTGAAGGCGCATGTGGATTTTATTTATTCTGTTATGATAGTTTTGTTTGTAAAATAAACCAATAGTATGGACTAACGTATTCAATTGTCATATGCATGTTTAAGTAGCTAATGAGAATGGCAAAAAAGCTAACAGGAAACCCACTAAGTTGGAAACCTTTCGTCCTCCTCCCGGACAGAAGCATATAGTAACATGGATTAGTGGACAACCTATAAGTGATACGGCATTTCAGCTTTCACAGGAGCTTGGGTATTACGCACGAATGGGCAGCTTATTTCCTTTACATAAGGAGTGGAATGATGAGTCTCGAGAAAAGATGGATGATATTATGGAGCTTCTAAAGGTAAATTTTAATTATTGATTGATTTGTACTTCTAAATTAATTTATATAAATTATCTAGGCTTTCTTGTAGGATAATTTTATTTGGGAAAGCGGAGATGAAGACCCTAAGAACCCTGGATTCAAGATGCCAGTAAATTTGATGTTCGTTCATCGTTGGTGTACTCTTACAGTGCAGTCAGCAGTAAGATCTTGGAAAGCAAAATAAATAAAAAGTATTACAATGAATGGAAAGATGCGTCTCCTCAGCAACGTGATCAGATTAACTTTGAGAGGATCACTCGTAGGGAGTGGGAAGACTTTGTGAACTATATAGACAATCCCAACAAAGAGGTAAGTTTTAAATTTAGAAATGTATATCAATTAGTTTATTTTTTATTCAGGTTTCTTGTTGTAAATAAAAAAAGGTTCAATTGAAATTTGCTCATAATATATTATAACGAATACATGTAGAGAAAATAATTTGTTTTGTTATTTTTAGTCATTTCTTATTGCAGGATGAAGCTGCTAGAAATTTACAAAATGTTTCAAAAAAGAAACTTCGGCATTGTTTGCGACAAAAGTCTATGGCTCGAACTAAACATAAATTGGTAATTGGCAACAATAAGAATTAAATATTTTGTCAAGATGCAGATATCTAGTTATTAACATTTAATTAGCTCATTCATGTTTCTTTTTCCTGCTTGACAGAAGGAGTTAGATCCAGAAAATTATGATGAGTTTGATATATTTATTAAGTGCCATAAGAAAAAGATGGGTCTTGGAGACTATCCACATGAGAAAACTCAAGACGTTTGTGTAAGTTTTGTTTTTGATTTTATTTTAACTTAATCATATACAATATATGTTGTATGTTATGAATTTAATCAAGTACAGGAGAAGGTTATTAAAAGGATTGAGGAGGTCAGAGTTCAACTTCAAGATGTAGATCCAGTAACAAAAGCCCAACGATTAAAACTATCAACTGTTCTTGATGAGGTAGCGGGAAAGCACCATGGGGGATATGAAAGAGGATATGGTATTGGATACGAAGGAAGGACAACGAGTCACCAGTTTTCTACATCCTATAACGTCGAGAGTAGTATAAACAACTCTCAACTTCAAGAAGAGCTAGATGTTGCTAACCAGAAAATCCAAGAGTTATATGCTGCTAATAAGAAAATTCAAGAGTTACACGAGGATATGCAGAAAAGAGCTGAGGAAGCGGAAAGAGAAAAGGCACAAGAAAAAGAAGAAAGAGATTATCAAATGCAAGAAATGCAAAGGATAGTGTCTATCTTTTAAGCCATGGCTGGATTAAACAGACAACCACAATAATTGGATGCAGGTACATCATATTCTCTATGTGAATGTACGACGATTGAACCTGGGTTGTGCTTACCCTATTTTGCAATGTCCTTCCTGTTCTTTTTGAAGGTACACATTTTGTGGGTTGGCCGCAATGATATTAATAAACGAGGTTGATAGGTTGGATTTGCCGAGACTGCTTGTAAGTCTCTTCTTCGTCGTCTTCTTATTCTTCTGATTATGAGTAATTTCCAGATTGCTTTATTTTTGACATACTGAAGTTGTACTCATTCTTGAATTTGACTTCCATAAACTATTAGTTATGGGCCTCATGGCCCAGGCAGCACATATATCCTAGTCTAATGCTATGGAATCTTTTCAAATGGTCTTGCTATAGTTGTATTGCTTTGTATTGGTGGTAAAGTATTCTTCATCTCTTGAAATGAGGATTACACAATATAAAAAAAAACATTCATGTTAACTTCTGTTGCTATAGTTGTATTGCTTTGTCTTGCTATAGTTGTATTGCTTTGTATTGGTGGTAAAGATATGATAGACATAATTCTATTGCATGCCGAAATAAGTGAGATGTAGTGATGTTAAATGAGGATTAGATGCTAGAAAACCAAAGTAGCTTAATGACAATAGCTGGTTGAGCTACATCAATCTTGGTATAAATAGGGGTGGTAAGGGAGTTAGGTTAGGAGGGTTCAAGTAAAAACCAGAATTTACCTGAGCCAAGGAAGCTAAACTTACAGTACACATTTGATAAATGGGTCAGGTACCCTCAACCATCAATATCTGTACCCGTAAAAAAAGTGGATACCTGTACCTATCCTGCTAACCTGCTGAATGAAAAGGCCCAGCTAATAAACGTTAGGGATACATAAGCTAGAGCTTAAGTTTGTTACTTTATTTAGTATGTTAAGGTGTTGAGTTTGGGTCTGAGAACATGTCAATCTGAAGTTGCATGTTAAATGAGTTAGCTGGGTTGAGCAAGGCAAGTATACTCATCCAAAACCGACCCAATTATCTACTGGGTTAGACGGGTCTGATTTAGGTATTGGACTATTAGCTCTATTAGGTTAAACGAAAGCTTAGCAGCATGCAAGATAATTGACTTGATTAGGTCAGTAGTTGGTACCTTGTTTTCGGGATTCAGTGTGCTTGATTAAGAGTAACATTTACTGCTGTAGGTATCATCTTTGTGAAATTCTGCATCAGAGCACTCAGGGGAAAGACAGTTAAAAAAAACTTCGGTTGAAACTTGACAAATATTCTTGAAAGCTCACACACAAAATTGTTAAGGAGACGAGAAATCTGCTTAGAGATGGCAAGAGAAAAAAATGAAAAAGAAGTACCTACAAGAAAATTATTTATATATTCTCAATACTTTTCATTTGTTTTTTAAAATGAATCATCTAGTTGAACTCCATGAAAATGAGATAAATAGCTTTAGTCTCTAATGTCTACTATTTTGGCCAGGCACATGCATGATATGGATGTAGGTTGCAAGGCGATGAATGGTCGAAGGGACTCAAATTTGCTGCAATGGAGTGGTGGGAGAAGTCATCGGATTAAACATTATGAATGAACAAATTGTGAAATTGATAAGCTACGGCCTCATTGAACTTTATCGTTTGAATACTACTTAGTCATTGTTTATTTCTTTACTATCGTATGTCATTTGGATAATTTTTGTTTGTTAGATTTGTTATTGAGTCTTAGAAGTTTTACTGTGTAGAGTTGGGAACCTTATAAATTAATGGTCCAAATTAAAAATTTTGTGATTGTTCATCAATTTTTGGATTTGCTCGCACAGGTTGTATGAAACAGTTCTTAGTTCTTTTTTTAATTGATCAAAGTTACATTTTTTACAGAGGTAATGATTTGTTTCATTTGAATGATTGTGACGTTTGAAGTGGATGAAATAGCTGATGCAAAATAGGTGAATATCAATTCTATGACTAATTAATAGAATAAGCTATAATATTTTTTGCTATTATATATTATTGATTTTTTTTTTCAAATCTTATAGGAACGGTTGCTTTCCGTTGTTAATACAGTTTAGCAACGGTTGGAATTTAATGACGCGATTATTTTATTTTTTTATGAAATAAAAATTTAAACCTTATAGCAACGGTTGCTTTCCGTTGGTAATACATTTTAGTAACAGTTGAGTTTTGCTGACGTGGATTTTTTAAATTTTTATAAAAAAACTCTAATAGAAACGGTTGCGAACTATTGCAACGGTTGTTAGTAGCAACGGACCATTTGCAACGGTTTTAACCATTCCTAATGTATTAGAAACGGTT